CAGGCACCTACGTCGACGACGTTCCCCCACCTGGGGCGAACATCGTCAGTGGCATGTGGATCTTCAGGGTGAAGCGGCCGCCGGGTTCTCCGCCTGTCTTCAAGGCGCGTTACGTTGCACGTGGCTTCAGTCAGCGACAGGGAGTTGACTTCTTCCAGACCTTCTCCCCTACCCCGAAGATGACCACTCTTCGTGTACTACTGCACGTAGCTGCTTAGCGTGACTACGAGCTCCACTCGCTTGACTTCAGCACAGCCTTCCTACAGGGCAGCCTGCACGAGGAGATTTGGCTGCGCCGCCCACCTGGCTTCACTGGGTCGTTTCCTGCTGGTACCCAGTGGAGCCTCCGCCGGCCAGTCTACGGTCTCCGCCAGGCACCCCGTGAGTGGCACGACACTGTGAGGACCACTCTTGCTACTCTTGGTTTTGCTCCTTCCACTGCTGACCCTTCTCTGTTTCTACGCACTGACACCACTCTGCCGCCGTTCTACGTTCTCGTGTACGTAGACGACCTTGTCATTGCTACTGCTGACACTGAGGCACTCGCCCACGTGAAGTCCGAGCTGCAGAAGAGACACACGTGCACCGACCTGGGGGAGCTGACAAGCTATCTTGGCTTGCGGATCACCCGGGACAGAGCACAGCGCACCATTACCTTGACTCAGTCACACATGGTGCAGCAGGTCCTTCAGCGCTTCGGCTTCACGTACTCCTCGACACAGTCCACTCTTCTGCCTACCGGTCACTCGCTCTCAGCTCCACCTTCGGACGAGTCCGTAGAGCCGAGTGGCCCGTATCCAGAGCTTGTGGGCTGCCTCATGTACCTGATGACTTGCACACGACCTGACCTCGCATACCCTCTCAGCCTTCTGGCTCGCTACGTGGCTCCCGGTAGGCACCGAAAGGTGCACTGGGATGTTGCGAAGAGGGTGTTGCGCTACTTGTGCAGTACATCGGGCATGGGGCTCGTGCTTGGAGGACGGGCTCGAGTTGGCTACGCAGCGGTCGTCACAGGGTTACACCTTCAGTCTTGGCTCCGGTTCTGTCTCTTGGCGGTCTACCCGCTCTTCTTCTGTTCTCAGCTCCAGTTGTGAGGCTGAGATCTACGCTGGGGCCATGGCTGCACAGGAGCTACGCTGGCTCACCTACCTGCTGACCGACTTGGGAGAGGCGCCTCGTTCTTCTCCAGTTCTGTACGTTGACAACAAGGCCATGTTGGCCTTGTGTCAGGAGCACAGACTGGAGCACAGAACGAAGCACCTTGCTCTGCGCTACTTCCTTGCTCGAGAGTTTCAGCAGCGTGGCCAGCTTTGTCTTGCTTACGTGGCCTCACAGGCCAACACTGCTGATGTTTTCACCAAGGCACTTCAGCCTTGTGATCATCAGCGTTTCTGTACTGTTCTAGGCCTTGTACCTACTGTGCCTCACTTGCTGACTTCTTGACTCTGCTTGTACTGTACTCTATATACCTATACCTGCATGCTTACACTTGCTAGGTTGTGTTCACTGTATTGTTTGCTTTCCTTTATATAACTCTGCATGTGAACTGGCCTTGTGGCCCTTTGCTTGTGCTCAGACTGCGTGGTGACTTTGTGATCCACCCTGAGCTTGCTTTGCCTTCTTGACTGGTCTTGTGACCTCTTGTTCTCCCCCACTTTGCCTATGGGGGTGTGTCAAACTTATATATGCTACAGTATGTTAAGGCTGTAGTGGGGTAGTTCTTATAGGGTACAACACTTTTAGGTTTCCTACTTGTACCCACCTGCTTCCTAGTTCATTCATTCCGTCCCTTATTCTAACAGTAAGCTGTATGACAAGAACGACAGACTCGTGCATCACCGGATCACCATCGTTCTACTCACCAGAAGAACAGCTCGATGAGAGCACTCCTCGCTCCGAATCACTGGAGCCCAACCCGACGTATGCAGCCATTGTCCAGAGCGAACCGCCCGGAAAAGACACTTGGTTCTTGGACAGCTACTGCAGACAGCACATGTGCTCCTCGGGTCACATCGTTCAACAGGAACACCAACTTCAACGTGAAGTCGTAATCACCGTTGCCAACAACCAAAACCTGCACACACGATGACAAGGGATTGTTCAACTTCAATCTCGAGAAACGAATGTTTTTCTACAAATGTCGAAAGTTTTAATCGCAGAAGGACTCGGCTACAACCTACTCAGCATCAGTCAATTGATGGCGAAGGGCATTCATCTTGAAGCAGATAGCACCACTCAGGAGTTCAAGTTGTACCACGGAAAGGGCGGACTCTACATTGGCAAAGCGGTCTTGAAGAACAACGTCTTCGTTCTTGACTTCATTCCGGACCAAGGTACCACTGACAGCGACGCCATCGTCAACTTCACTTCTTGGACACATCCACCAGATTTTGACCCCGACTTCAGTCCTGGAGGATTTTGGTACTCACATACCATACTTGAAGCAGAAAGGACAAGGGCATTAGCAACAATCCGGCAAGAAGAAACAACATCGACAGCGGCAAAGACAACATCGGTAGCAGCAGCAACACCTACGGCACCAATCGCGGGTTCTTCGACGACACCAGTTCTCATCGACGACACTTCACCGACACCTGCACAGCAGTTAACTCCCACTCCACGCGAAGTTCACAGAAGCGCCAACCTCACCGCGGGATTTTATTCCAACTCCGACCTGTACAGGCGCTCACTAGGACATCGTGCGAGCGAATCACAGTGGCACGAAAGATTGGGTCATCCAAGCAACACCACGTTAAACAACACGATCAAGGAAGCAGTACTCGACAAAGATTCCTTACTTCGACCCGACGGCAGAGAATTTCAATGAGTCCAAGGAACCTGTTTTACTTGCCCCGAATCCGACTTACCTCATCAACCATTTATCTCTCACCACAATCCAAGCGCGCCAGCTTACGCACCACTGGAGAAAGTGTCAAACATATATGCCTAGTTATATCTAGGCTTAGTTTATGTGTTTATAGTTGTCTAGGCTATAGTGGGTTTAGCCTTAGGGGGTACAAAGTTTCTCTCGACATTCTACTTGTACCCCTTTCCTTTTCCTAGTCAATCATTCTCGCCTAAGATTCTAACATGGTATTAAGAGCAACTAAGTCTTAGGACCTAATCTCAATGGGCCCACCACCTACTGCACTGCCCGTACCTAGCCCGTCGACTTCGTCGCCCGCGCCCGGCCCGTACCTAGCCCGTCGCCCAACCCATACCTAGCTCGTTGCCTCGGCCCCGCTGGCCCCGTCGACTTCGTAGCCCGCGCCCGGCCCGTACCTAGCTCGTCACCAGGCCCGTACGTAGCCCGTCGCCTCGGCCCCGCTGGCCCCGTCGTCTTCGTCGCCCGCGCCCGGCCCGTACCTAGCTCGTCGCCCGGCCCGTACCTGGCCCGTCGCCCGTCTCGTACGTAGCCCGTCACCTCGGCCCCGCTGGCCCCGTCAACTTCGTCGCCCGCGCCCGGCCCGTACCTAGCCCGTCGCCCGGCCCCGTCTCCTGCCCGCGCCCGGCCTGTACCTAGCCCGACGCCCGGCCCGTACCTAGCCCGTCGCCCGGCCCGTACCTAGCCTCGCGCCCGGCCCGTACCTAGCCCGCGCTCGGCCCCGTTCCTAGCCCCGCGCCCGGCCCGTACCTCGCCCGCGCCTGGCCCCGTACCTAGCCCGCGCCCGGCCCGTACCAAGCCCGCGCCTGGCCCCGTCCTTCGCCCAGCGCCTGGCCCCGTCTCCTGCCCGCGCCCGGCCCGTACCTAGCCCGTCGCCCGGCCCGTACCTGCCCGTCGCCCGGCCCCATTCCGCGCCCAGCGCCCGGCCCAGTACCTGCCCAGCGCCCGGCCCAGTCCCTGCTCAGCGCCTGGCCCCGTACCTGCCCAGCGCCCGGCCCCGTACCTGCCCAGCGCCCGGCCCCGTTCCTGCCCAGCGCCCGGCCCCGTACCTGCCCAGCGCCCGGCCCCGTCCCTAGCCATGGCCCCGTCGCCCCTAGCCATGGCCCCGTCGCCCCTAGCCATGGCAAAATTTGACATGCATTGTCAAACATATATGCCTAGTTATATCTAGGCTTAGTTTATGTGTTTATAGTTGTCTAGGCTATAGTGGGTTTAGCCTTAGGGGGTACAAAGTTTCTCTCGACATTCTACTTGTACCCCTTCCCTTTTCCTAGTCAATCATTCTCGCCTAAGATTCTGACATGGTATTAAGAGCAATTAGTCCTAGGACCTAATGCTAATGGGCCCACCACCTACTGCCCTGCTAGCCTAGGCCCCGGCCCGTCGCCCCTTGGCGTCGCCCCTAGCCCCTAGGCTCGGCCCCTTGGCCCCGTCGCCTCGGCCCCGCTGGCCCCGTCGACTTCGTCGCCCGCGCCCGGCCCGTACCTAGCCCGTCGCCCGGCCCGTACCTAGCCCGTCGCACGGCCCGTACCTAGCCCGACGCCCTGCCCGTACCTAGCCTGTCGCCCGGCCCGTACCTAGCCCGCGCCCGGCCCCGTCTCCTGCCCGCGCCCGGCCCGTACCTAGCCCGTCGCCCGGCCCGAACCTAGCCCGTCGCCCGGCCCGTACCTAGCCCGTCGCCTGGCCCGTACCTAGCCCGTCGCCCGGCCCCGTCTCCTGCCTGCGCCCGGCCCGTACCTAGCCCGTCGCCCGGCCCGTACCTAGCCCGTCGCCTGGCCCCGTCTCGTGCCCGTGCCCGGCCCGTACCTAGCCCGACGCTCGGCCCGTACCTAGCCCGTCGCCCGGCCCGTACCTAGCCTCGCGCCCGGCCCGTACCTAGCCCGCGCTCGGCCCCGTACCTAGCCCCGCGCCCGGCCCGTACCTCGCCCGCGCCTGGCCCCGTACCTAGCCCGCGCCCGGCCCGTACCAAGCCCGCGCCTGGCCCCGTCCTTCGCCCAGCGCCCGGCCCCGTCTCTCGCCCGCGCCCGGCCCCGTACCTAGCCCCGCGCCCGGCCCCATTCCGCGCCCAGCGCCCGGCCCCGTACCTGCCCAGCGCCCGGCCCCGTCGCCCCTAGCCATGGCCCCGTCGCCCCTAGCCATGGCCCCTCGCGACCTGCCGCCCCTAACCGCGGCCCCGGTGCCCTGTTGCGCCATGGTGGGTGAGGGGGTGGCAAGAGGGGGTTCCTCCTACCCGCGTGCCCTTCAGTCGCACGCGCAGCTCCGCCCCCGCCCCCCTCCCCCCCCTCCCCCCCCTCCATGGGGATGGCGGGGAGAGGGGGAGGAAACTTGGAGGTTCAGGGGGAGGCAGGAGGGGATCTGCAGCACCAGGTCCCCCACCTTTCTCCTACCTCCCCCTGCTGCGGGAGCAGCAGAGGGGGGGAGGGGACCTGCAGCACCTGCCCCCCCCCCCCCCCCCCCCCCCCCCCCCCCCCCGCCCCCCCCCCTTCTCCTCCATCTCTCTGCTGCGGGTGCAGCAGTGGGGGGGAGGGTATGGGGGTGGCGGGTGTGGCCACCCTGCTGTCGCCCGAGCGGCTCCTGCACCGCCCCTTCTCCTACCTCCCCCCTGCTGCGGGTGCAGCAGTGGGGGGGGGGAGGGGATCTGCGGCACCAGCCCCCCCCCCCCCCCCCTTCATCCTTCTCCTACCTCCCCCTGCTGCGGGTGCCGCAGTGGGGGGGAAGGGATCTGCCATCCCCCTGCTGCGGATGCAGCAGTGGGGGGTGGGGACCTGCAGCACCAGCCCCCCCCCCCACCCTTCTCCTCCACCCTTGCTGCGGGTGCAGCAGTGGGGGGGAGGGGATCTGCATCAGCAGTGGGGGGAGGGGATTTGCAGCATCAGCCCCTCCCCCCCCCCCCCCCTTTTCTCCTCCACCCCTGCTGCGGGTGCAGCAGTGGGGGGAGGGGATCTGCAGCAGCAGTGGGGGGGGAGGGGAGTTGCAGCATCATCCCCCCCCCCCCCCCCCCCCCCCCTTTTCTCCTCCACCCCTGCTGCGGGTGCAGCAGTGGGGGAAGGGGATCTGCAGCAGCAGTGGGGGGGGAGGGGAGTTGCAGCCCCAGCCCCCCCCACCCCCCCCCCCCCCCCCCCCCACCCCCACTTCTCCTCCATCCCCCTGCTGCGGGTGCAGCGGTGGGGGGAGGGGATCTGCAGCCCTGTGCCGCCCTGCAGCCCTGTGCGCCCCGCGCGCCCTGCAGCCCTGCTGCGCCCTGCGCGCCCTGCTGCCCTCTGCACGTGCCATGCACAGCTCCCCCCCCCCCCCCCCCCCCCCCCCCCCCCCCGCCCCAACCCGCCCCCCTCCCCCCTCCCTTCTTCTTCCTTCCCCTACTGCAGGTGCAGCAGTGGGGTGGGGGTATGGGGGTGGCGGGTGTGGGTGCAACTGTGGGGTGGCGGGTATGGGGGTGGCGGGTGTGTGAACCATCCCCTCCTCCTCCTCCACCTTCGTCTCCCACTGCTGCAGCTGCCGCTGAGGGGGGTGGGTGTGTGGGAGCCGAGGGAGTGGTGCTAGGGGGGTGACGTGGGAGTGGAGCTAGGTGTGCAGCAAGGGGTGTGTGAAAGGGGGGTGGGACAGTTATGGGGGAGGTTGAGCGGAGGTAGCCGTTGTGTCGTCAGCAGCGCCAGTAGTCCGGAGGCTACAATCTCCGGTAGCCCAGCGAGCCTGCTGCGCCAGTCGCCTGTGGGTCCGTTGCTCCTGCCGCTCAGAGTTAGCCGCAGAGCCAGTTACTCCTGTAGTCCGGGGATACGGCCCCGGTAGCCACAGTGCGCGCCGCTCCTGTTGCCCGTGTGTCTGCAGCATCAGCAGTCGCCTCCTATCTCCTCTCCTCTCACAGTCCAGCCTCCTCTTCACTTGCCCTTTGTGAATGCCCCTAGCTCTGCCTGTACTGTGATCTATCTATATACTTGCATGCTTGCACTTGTTAGGGTATGATCACTATATTGTTTGTTCTCTTTATATAACTCTGCATGTGAACTGGCCTTGTGGCCCTTTGCTTGTGCTCGGACTGTGTGGTGACTTTGTGATCCACCCTGAGCTTGCTTTGCTTTGCTTCTTCTCTTGACTGGTCTTGTGACCATTGCTTGTTCTGGCTATCCCCCACTTCGCCTATGGGGGTGTGTCAAACATATATGCCTAGTTATATCTAGGCTTAGTTTATGTGTTTATAGTTGTCTAGGCTATAGTTGGTTTAGCCTTAGGGGGTACAAAGTTTCTCTCGACATTCTACTTGTACCCCTTCCCTTTTCCTAGTCAATCATTCTCGCCTAAGATTCTAACAGAAAGTTTACAGCGATATCCTGTATACTCGGAACAAGGTCAAGAAGCATACAACTGTGTGATTACTTTCATCGACGCCGCCACCCGATACATCTGGCATCTCAACCTTCCAAGTCGCAACATGGCCTTCGAAGCCTTCGTTGCCTAGCTACCTATGGCAGAACGAGAATCAGGAGCAAAGCTGAAAAGCTTCCAGTCAGACGGGGGAGGAGAATATCAGTCACAAAGATTCAAGCAGTACCTCGCAGACCGAGGCATCAAGCGACTCATCTCGCTTCCCTACGCCCATCAACAGCAAGGCGTGGCAGAACGGATGAACAGAACTCTCCAGAACACCATGCGCAAACTATTGCGTGGCAGGCGACTGCCCAAACACCAGTGGCCTGACGCGATGGATCACGCTGTCATGCTGCACAACTTGCTCTTGTCATCATCGCTCCCGAACAACGCATCACCGCACCTGCTGTGGACAGGAAAACTGGGAAACACAAAAATGTTACGAGTTTTTGGGTGCATGGTACAGTACCGACTGCACACTGCAAGAGCTGGAAGATTTTCACAACACGCACAGTGGGGGCTACACCTGGGCATCGAAAAGCAGTACAACGCATGGAAGATTTTTGACGTCCACTCGAAGGAAACAGTAGCAGCACGTGATGTCATTTTCTGCGAGCGACTCACACTTCAAACGTACCTGGACAACCTATCAGCAAATCCAGACCTCACGGGCGGCTTTCGTGGCAACCGAGCTTTCGCTTCGACAGCAGACGAAGCTGACTGGGACGAGCAGAACGTGGACGGAGCGGAGGCAGCCGGACCTCTTCCGTATTGCTCAGTAGACATCCCCATGGACGACAACAACCCTCGCAAAAGTGTCAACGCCGAAACCTACTTCGACTTCGCCGACAACGGTTACGTCACACCCCAACCGGTCGACACCAACATTTCCAAACGCGTAGGACCAAATTTCTTACCGGATCCAGAAGCGGGAGATGAAGCAGCTTATCCCGAGGACGCAAATCTCCCCCGCTACACACAGAGTGGGCTGCAGATACTAGGACTCGTCACCACCGTCCACGGAGCAGCACCACCTAAGGAGCCTGCCAACATTCAGCAGGCTCTGGGGGGGGAACACAGGGAAAAATGGCGCGAAGCCATGGACAGAGAATTAAAGGCGCTGCAAGAACGCAACATCTGGAAAGTCGTGCCTATCGGAGTGGCACGTAACAAGACCATTCTCACGGGAAAATGGGTTTTCCGCGTGAAAACAAAAGCCGACGGAACAATAGACAAATTCAAGGCACGCTGGGTCGTGCGCGGCTTCAACCAAGAGCATGGACGAGACTTCACGGAAACATTCGCACCAGTTAGCCGACATACCTCACTGCGGATTCTCCTCGCGATAGCCGCCATGAACCGGAAGAAACTTCGACAAATCGTCGTTGCCAACGGATTCCTCTACGCCCCTGTCGATGTTGAGATCTTCGTCGAACACCCACATGGGTCTAACGTAGAACCCAACCAAGTCTGTCAGCTGCAAAAATCGATGTACGGCATCAAACAAGCCCCGAGACTGTGGCAGCAGCATCTTCACGCCCGTATAATCCGCATCGGATTCTGCCAACTACCGCATGACCAAGGGATGTACCGACTCACTAAGGGGACCAACTACATCCTGCTCATCATCTACGTAGACGACCTACTCTACATAGGCTCTACCGACGACATAACGACCTGGTTTGAAGGGGAGCTGCAGCGGGATCTCACACTCACCGTCGCGACTACCGTGACACAGTACCTGGGACTCAACATACAAGACGGCGAAAGCGCAATCTACCACAGCGCCGAAAAATACACAGATACCATCGCCAAACGATTCGGACTAACTCCAACTGCCATCACCACGCCATACCGTTACACCGACGGAAATCGCAAAGTCTCCGCCCTACTCAAACCCACCGGCATTCGCGACTACCAACAAAAACTAGGCTGTCTAATCTTCGCAGCCGTTACCTGCCGACCGGATCTATCTTACTCAGCTAGTCAACTCGCCACCTACCTCAAGAAGCCTGAAGCAGAACACATGAAGGAGCTCGACCGTGCACTTCACTACCTCGTCAGCACCCCGACGATCGGACTAACCTACCACAAGACCGGAACTACGACACCCAAATTAATCGGCTAAGTCGACGCCGATCACGCTGGAGACTCTGACAACAGGCAATCTCGTACTGGCTACATCTACTGACTCGAACCTATTGGCCCTATCTCATGGCAGTCGAACAAGCAAGAGCTAATCGCTCTCTCCTCAGCCGAAGCAGAATACATCGCACTTTGCTCAGCCACCAAGGAAGGACCATATCTTCGCGAATTACTGGAAGAAGCAAAATTGGCTCAGTTACCCAGCTTCTCCCTCTTCTGCGACAACCAATCGGCCATTCGCATAGCGAACAAAAATGGGTTCGCGAATCGAACGAAGCACATCGCCCTCCGGTACTTCTTCGTAAAAGACGAAATCGAGAAGGGAAGACTCGAGTTATCCTACTATCCCACATCTGAGATGGCAGCCGATTACTTGACCAAGAAACTCGGAAAACAAAAGTTCGAGTACTGCATGCTGCTGACTGGACAAGGACACGTCATCAGCAGCGACACTCCAAAAGCAAAGGGGAGTGTTGGAAACAAGTAATTTAACGGAGCAGACTACAGCGAAGCAACACGCGAGTCAACAAAAGAAACAGCTAGAGGTTACGCGAAGGTCAAAGGTTGCTGACCTTTGACTCGACGAAAATGCAGCGCGACAGCAAGGACACATAACTGACTCGGCATTGTGCAGTTACCCGAGTCGTCACTGTATCGAACCGCAACAGTAAAAAACAGTTAAAGTAAAACCTTTCATATTCCTTTGTGATCATATAAAAGCTTTGTATCTCTCTGCTATTACCAACTCATCTTGTTCTCACATACCAGTGCAAGGTGGTTCAGTAAACTCTGTTATTACGCTTCCGCAATTACAACATTTCTACCACAAAGGTCTTAGCCTTGAAAAGATCCTAAGGGCTAATTCTCAGCCCAACAGTTTTCACAGTGTTGCTCCTCCAACCACTGTTTGCACCCGCAGGATCAAACAAATGAATACAGCGTCTAACACTCTGTATCACCCGCCCAACGATTCAACCAGCAACACTGGTTTCGATTGGATGATGCAAGGAAAATTCTTTTTCCTTACTTCGCGTCCCTGCTCAGCGCGTACATCACTGTTTCCCGCCAACAGAACCCCACAATCATCCGTTACCACTATTCCCGCCACTGTTCACGACGCGACCCATCCTCACGATTCGGTTGGTAACCCGTGCTCCGGACCTCCGCCTCGACAATCCCCAACCTCGGCGCCAGGCCCGTCGCGCACCCCATTTTTTCACACGTTACCGTTACCACTGTAGCTTCGCTATATATTCTTCGCTCAAACCTTCGCTCATTGTATTCTTGTCTCAATAGTGCAATCCTCGCTCGCTCATCCATTGCACTCGTAACATTTGGTATTCAGAGCCTACGATCTTCTCTCGGACCGCACCCACACCTTCGCTTCCCCACTATCTCAATTTTGGGGGGGGGGTAGACGTCTCTCAGCGACCAAGCACCGCTGCTCATAGTGCTCTCTTGTAAGCACGCACGGCCACGACAGAGGCTCTCGCTGAGCTCGCCCGACACCCCCGCCATGGCTGTAATTACTCTCGCGACACTGACGCAAGCACATATCGACTGTCTCGTGCGTCAACTCGAGGATTCGGCCCTCGAAATCGCTACGCTCACGGCAGAACTCGACTCCGCTCGCCAGCAATCGACATTGATTGCACCAGCACCAACAAATGCACCAGCTGTTGAAAACAGCAGTTGAAAGTTAGAAATGAGAAAGAGAGGTTTTCACTAGCAAGCAGTTGAGTACATATAGGAAACCCTAGATTGGGCTGTACTCACTATTGAGTACCCCACTGCAGGCTAGACAAATACAACATATTCTGACACACCCCCATAGCCAAAGTGGGGTGTAATCAGCACAAGTAAGTAAAGCAAAAACAAGCTCAGGGTGGATCACAATGTCACCACACATTCTGAGCACAAGTACAAGGCTACAAGGCCAGT